TAGGAAGGTGATATGTATATTGGAGCTCTTATGGATGCAACTTTATGATGGCATGTATAATTAGAAAAGATACATTGATTATGTTTTGTTGCCAAGTCAGAGTCCACCATTTGACTTTTGATGTTAACAAATTCCAGTTTAGTTCTTCATTAACCTTAATAACTAATGTACACTACATTGAGATGACTGTTTTAATTAAAACTCAAAGACTATTCCTTCAGAAATACTATTTTGTATATCATATTGTTATCTTTGAAAATTCATTGAAATGCTTGCAAAGAATCAAACTAACTGTTCTTGTAAAAAAGTACTTTGTGGACCAAATTAGGAAGGAAGCAAAATGCTCAACTGTAAGTCATTTTAAGTTAGATAGGCTAGTCTGAAGTACCAAGCACACAATAATACTCTATAAATGCTTAGGCTATAACTGGACAGAAAATGTTTTAAAAAAGAAATCCTTAAGATGTCTTTAGGAATTATTGATATTTCTTAAGAGTATAGATATTGTTTTCCCAGTGATGCCTTGAGATTCACAGTCAGGCAAAGAAGCAAATAAAATGCTATTTTTTCAGTGCTACATGGAGTCCTTTAATAGAGAAGCATGTTTTGGCAGGTCTCTGTGTTGGGCACATGAAGAGGCTGCAGGTGGCACATGGGCACAATCTGTTCTAAGAATGTTCACAAAGAAAAGGCTGTTTAGTGTGGAAATGAAGAGGAAGCTTTGTACAGCAAAGGATAAGTTAGCTAATCAGATTTAATAGTTTTTATTTTCTGGATTGTTTTTTTTTTTTTTTAACATATTTTACTCCAAATGTTTGACAGTTGGTAGTATGTATTATTTTCTTCCAGAAGCTTTTAGCCCACCAGATTGGTAACTTATATCCTTAAACCTCATTTATATTGATAGAGATAGTTCACAAACCAGCATCTGCAAAGTGTCAGCAAACACAACTACAACTACATTTGCTCTTGATTAAATCAGGATTTTTACTTTTTGCTTGTTGATTTTATTTGTAGGAGTTAATGCACTTTTTAATCTAAAAACACATGAGAGTCACTACAAACACAATGCTCTCTCTGGTCCTGTAATACTATACAAAAAGACAAGTGCTTGTCAAACACTTTAGTGTGTATAATGCCTGTGTTTGACACACTTCCTCGCTGTGAAAAACATCAAGCATCCTTCGTAATCTTTTTGACCACCCCTGGAGGAGCATTCACCTCAGTTTGTAGCAAACAGTTACTGACGCTAGTAAGAGTGTGAGTAAGGCATGCAAGAGGAAATTTTGAAAAGTAAACTCAATGTTACAGGGATAGGAAATTTTTACTGTCATCTGGGGAAAAAACAACTCTTAAAAAAACAGATGACTTGTGGAGAGTAACTTAAAACTGAGTCAAGAACACAGGTTATTTTTACAAGCTGTCATGTTGAAATATACAAACTGTTTGAATTGGTAGGGGGGAAAAATGAATCTTGCATCAGCTGGTTTACTGCTTAGGTCCACCGACACTGAGATTCACAAATGTATTATTATCCTTTGAACTTTTACATTTTCTCACCCGATAGCCACAGATTTATGCATATTGCATATTTTATGTTAAGCACAAAGCAGCACTGAACTGTAAAATTAAAAGAATTATAGTTATAATTTGTTTTACAAATAGAAATCAGAAAATTGCATCTGTTTGTATTTTGACAATACCTTTGAATAAAATCCAACACAATGTCCCAAGCAAATGCTTCAAACATTTTTGAGGATCTCATTTGTAAAGAAAAATATAATTTATGCTTTATGTTTTACATAAAATCTATATGAAAGTTTGGTTTTGGGTTGTAATGAATGCTTCTGCAAACCAATGCTGTACATAAAATAATTATTTGGACAGGTTCTAACAGAAAATTGTTCTTGCTCGTTATCTATCTTAGTTTACTGAAACGAGAACTGAGTAAATTTACAGAAACAAGTGCACGCACTTCCAAACTAGGTTATTTATCATTGATCTGACAAAGAGGCTTTCAAATACAGTCTTCCTAGAAAGTAACTGCTGACTAACTCACTAACCCTGGTGCAAGAACTTTTTCAGTGAATTGGACTTTTTACCCAAAGATTATTTTAAAACAAACTCTCTTTGGTGTTATATTACCTAATGAGGCTGTAAAGCAGCTTATCTGTCTGGTAGCCTGAGAGGGTCAGCACATCTTGTCAGGTATAGCATCATATGAGCTCCAACAGTAGTGCTAATGAGCTGGTGCACAGCCTCAGTAACTGATTGCTGCCTGGTTAACTACAGTCTCAGATGATCAATGGCTGCACATTAAGATGAAAATCATTCTTTTTCTGCTGCTGTCATTAAGGCTTATTAATTTATTTAGCACATTATGGATGGATGTTCTTCCACTCGTGGGGAAGGATAAATCTAACAGAAAGATGTCATGCATAATGATTTAAGTTTTTTTCACATTTTGAAACATCCTAGGATATTTAGTTCTTTATATTTCTGTTCCGTCATTAAATTCAATAAACAGGACAAGGAGAGGTCAAATTCTGACAGGAGCTCATTTTGGACATGAGCAGAATAGAATGAGAGGGATGGAGGCAGACTCCTCGATGCCAGAGCCAAAAAGAGCAATCAGCTCATGTGCTTTTTCTGACAGTAGTTCAGCAGTGGTGGCAGAGACACAGCCAAGTCATGTAAGTGGATGAAGTGAGTGACTGGAAGAGCAGAGGAGAGTCTGCACTGTGAGCAAAAAAAGCTTCTCTCTCATGACACAACTGAATTCCCTCCTGATACTTTGTAATTTATTTTAATTTCAGAACTGTTAAAAAGAAAAAGTCCCCATTTTAATTAATTAAACATCAACATGAAATAAATCTGAGACTCCTGTGAAAACACCTCAAACAATCAAAATGTTGCAGCCATTTCTTTCCCTAGATTGATAAACGGGTAAAAAACAGTAACAATGACCCCGTTTTAGTTTACTTTTAATCATTGATATTACTGTTTTCTATTGAATTGAGCAGACAAAAAGTGAATCTAACTCATTTTATAAACTAATTTGTCCTCAAATCATAATTAAAGGGAGATCCTACACCGGCCCAGCAAAGATAAGCATTAAATAAAATCTATTGGTGAGTAAAAATCTGCATTTTGAATACCAAGGAACACAACAGATCAGGGATAAAACTCTTTAAAAGTTTAAAACTTGACAGTCATCATCTTCTTTTTCTAAAACCTGAAATGAATTAGAAATTTTAATGCTACAGCAATGAAAGAGAGAACAGGAAAGAACCATGAGCATAGAGAAAATATTCCTGTGCATATGTTGCCCCCCCCCAGGGGTTTTTTTTTTTTTTTTTTGGTGACTAATCATGACAGTAACTGTTGCCACTTCAAAAGAACCTTTAGATATAACTTTGCAAGTAATGAGGCAGCACTGCACTTTGCCAGGTTCAGAGAGCATTCTGATAGAACAGACTCAGATGTATGCATATAGAAGAATATGTAATGAATTTCTTCTGAATCCAATTTTCTTCTCAATCCAACAGGGAGTGAATCTATAAAATTAATTTCACTAACATCTCTTTTACACCAATACCTGTACAGACAGTACAGACAGGAAAGTAATTACAGATGCTTCATGTCTGACCACTATATCTTTTTTTTTTAAATCAGACAACATTAGGTACTTTGCTGAATAAATCTCTCTAGTTTCCATCTCACATGATGTATCCAAACATGTGTGCATACATCCCTTTGGTCTGAGAACTTGAAAATATACAAGTTGTTCTAAGAAGAAATTAATTCAATTTGTACACCACCAACCACAAAATGATGATAAGCTTCTACTTCATTAATACATCTGTCTGTTTGAGGGACTTTTTGTTTTTTACAGTGTCAGCATCAGTGTATGTGTGCAGTGTCTTTTGACAGGGCTTACTCTTCTCATCAAGGACAGGAAACTTTTATTGGATGTAGTTTTATCCAGTTAAAAAAACATGCAAATGCTAAAAGAAACACTTTTCAGTAAGACTCAGTGAAGAAGTATCAGTGGAAATATGTTACCACGGAGTATAGAAGGAATGTTGCGTCTTTGTAATTCCTGAGTTCAATGCAAGTCTCTGCATTGCATTAAAGATCACCTATATTTTCCTGGAGTCATAACCTGGTTTATCTCTCCCCCAAAATGACAAAATATTGCAACATAAAAGTCATAATGCGAGAGTTTTGTTGCATAAATTTTTAAAAGTAACACACACAGAGCTTTCAAGCTGAAAAGTTATAGCAAAGAAATGCAAAGAGCTGATACGACATGATTTATCGTCTTACAATAGCAGCAGAGGAAGATAGCAGTGGAAGCAGAATGAGTATCTGCTGTTAAAAAGACAAAATAAGAATAGAAAACTTGTTTTTTAAAACGGTTTAAAACAGTTTTTTTCCAGATGTTGTACAGATTCATTTGAATGTTGTAGCTGTATAGTAAATTACTTCCATGGTGATACTGAACACAATACAGAGAAGGTTTTTGAACTTCGTTTTGCTTGAGAGTGCATGTTTCATTGTCTTAAATTACTTTGAGATTCAGAATTATGAAGCATCTCAGCCCATGCATTTTGTTTGGAGCTGTCTTGGTTTGTATATAGCTTTGTTTGAATCACTCAGATTTGCAGAAAATACAGGGATTTCTTCTACCAACAACTCTAGTTGGAACAAGAAATCCATCCGGTTTATTTTTGTCCCAGAAATCACACTAGAATTATTGTAACACAGAATGAAAAAGTCAAGATTCTTTTCCTCTAACTTTTTACTCTGCTAGCACCGTTGTTCACCCTTAAAAAGAACAAATTCTTAGTCTGTTTTATGCAGGTTAAAACAAAATCGATTCATTTTAGCTCATCTTTTAAATACTTGGGTTCAATGTCCCAATAATAAGTACTGCTGTTTATTCATCAGATCTTATATGAAAATATATAAATGCTGTTACTGATCAATTAGTATATCAACTGATGGATGGATGGATGGTCTATAATTCACTTATTCTGATCTGCCAACCTGGGTACCAGGAAAAAAAAATGTCACTATGACCTACTTATTTTGATGATTAGTCCAAATAATCCTCCTAAAACCAGAATTAGGTCCACTGTTTCATTTAGGTTGGTTTAATTTATGACTGTATGTTTTCTTTATAACTTTTTAACTTTGTGTTTTTACTATGTAAAGCACCCTGAACCGTTGTGCTGCTGAAATGTACTTGATTGATCGACTAATTGACTGATTCAAAGACAGCTTGTTTGTGAAACAAACTGCAGTTATTAATTCTTGCCTTCAAGGGGGATGATTCATCATAAAGCAGTAAAGGATTGTCCACCTGAAATGGCTGTTAATTTATCTTTTGCAATAATAATAAATGATGCTAGGAAAAGCTGTGCTCAACTCAGAGGTTTATCGTGTAAAAACTAGCATCATCAAGTTCAAAATATTCACTCTGTCCCTTGAAATTACTGCAAAGAACATCAGCTCTTAAAATGCAGGACTTGTAAAAACACAATGTGCCTATTTCAATGTTTTTAAGAATGAATCAGGATATTTATTAATGTTAGCTAAAGGAAAGGCTGCCTCTATCAAATTCTAATGAAAGAGAGAGGTTTAATAACGATATTGTTTATTTTAGGAGGCGAAGCTCTGAGATCAATAAAACAGTTATTGAGCTTAATTTTCCCGTTGGAGACACAAACAAGCCGATCGTATGCAACAGCTTGCCTCATAAACGTCTCGTACTCATTTGGCTCATTGGGCACCATTGTACATGCTAATGATACTTTTTGCACTCACACTAAGAAAAGGCTCACATTTTGCACTCAGAAGAAAAGGAGCATCCGTCTGAAATTTCTCCACAAACACTGGACTAAGCATGACAGTGTTTTGCATTAAGATGTGTTGTGTCCTGCAGGTACCCCAAGATGAGTGGAGCGGTTACCCCGGTGACAAAGACGAGGAGATTCCATGTCGCCGCATGCGGAGCAGTAGCTACGTCAAAGCTATGGGAGAGCTGGAGGATGAAAGCGGAGACTCCGACACGAGTCCTAAGACTTCTCCACAGGCAGCCATTCGTCCTGATGCTCTTGTCCTTAAATCAGCCATGCAGAGACCCCATTTAGACTCCCAAAGGTAGGGCTGCCTGCCAAGCACAGCAGGTCCTTATCAAAGCTGTGTCTATGGTTTAGTTTTCAGTTTTTAATGACAGATATCTTGCTTTATAAGTAAAAATAAGCAAACCCTCAAGCAAACATCAACTAAAATGCTGGTTCTAGTGAAACATTTGTGGGATTTAATAACTTGAAAATACAATGTCGCTAGTTGATATGCACACACAAACTGGATGAACGTTGCCCCTCTTAATGGAATTAATAGACAATGTGAAAAAAGAATAATTCTCATTGATAACGTAGCATAAGCTAACATCAATGTTGGTCAGAAGAACAAATATTACAAACAAATATTTATTGAGGTCTGAAAAAAATAGGACATGGTTGTTAAGAAAAAGTTAATGGGACGAGATTCCCACTTATTTTGTTTGTTAGTAGTCCCTATGAGACAATAGACAGTGCAGGTGTGGTGTTAACCTAATATTTTGATCATTTTGTTAGACTGTCTCCAAGCACTGACTCTCCCACATGACCTTTTAGGTTAGTTTATTTTATTTTGCACAATTAAAATACATATCAAAGGTATTAAGAAAAAGAAGTAATGAGAACAGTGCAGGAAGAGGCAATAGCCCATTGGACGTAAATAAAGCCTCCGCACAAATGGGAGTTTGCAAATTGTCAAACACCAGAGGGAAACTTTTGTTCTTTCAACAAATGTCCAACTAGTAACTTTAACTTTTAAAATAATTATTAAACAGAGAGGATTTATTTTTTAAACGGGGCAAGAGCAGTGGTTACTTAAACCTTTACACTGCTGCCACCTTTACAGTTGAGTGTTCTTCACAGTCATCTGAACTTACTTCAACAAAAACTGAAAGAATGATAGAATAATCGTTGACTTCTAAGACATAAAGTGAAACATTAGCAATGAATTTGAGTTTTTCCCGTGTGAGGTGACTGGACTTGTTTGTTTCATACCTGTTGTTTTACTGACTTTCAATTGAACTTGTTTTTATAATGTTGGCTGTCTGAATTTTTGCTTTAAGCCACTGTAGCTTTTAAATAGAGACAAATTCTGTGAGGCGTCATGCACTACTCGGTTCTCTCTGCCTCTGAGTGCTCTGTGCCCTTTTATTCACCATCATCACTGTGGGGTTCTGATCGCTTCTGCGGTTGTATGCAAACAAAAAAGACCCTGTGGTTTCTTCTGCACAGCTCACAAATGTAGTAATCTATCATTGTTCTGAATCTACACTCATTTAAGTGCAACTCTTGTATAATTGGACTCTTAAAGCTGAAGTTAACATAGCTCACATTTAAAACTGTTCTTAAATTGATCTCTTTTTTTATTTTGTCTGGATTCTGCCTATACACGCAATGTATTTTCCCCAGCAACAGTTTAGTAAACAGTTTTTAAACTGAGAAATTTTGTGTCTCCCCACCCCAACTCGCTCCTGTCCTTGTTCAGCCAGGGTTACCACTTGCAAACCAGAGATTTGCGGCCCCACCCAAGTGTCACGCTGGATCCTGCCACCTCCTTTCATCCCCCTCCTTTTCGCTCTCGCAACCAGAGCTACATGCGTGCCGTTAGCACCCTCAGTCAAGCTAGCTGCGTCAGCCAGGTGAGTCTTAAACATCCATCTAAAGGATGCATAACTTCAAATGTAAAATTGAACTTACCTCCTGTTTTGCACCATTTTCACAGCTCGATATAATGTTACTATTGGTACAGTTATTGTGGAAACACTTCTCATTTCTTACCTCAGTTTTAATCCTCATCTTCTCTCCTTACGTCCATTTCTACAACTTGACACTCAAGCTAAGCAGACAGAAGAAAATATCATAAAAGATTTGAGTCAGAAAGGGAGCTGTCATGAAAACAAGTGTTTACCAAAATGTGGCATCCTCTCTTGACAACCATTGTTTTAAATCAGACTGTTATTAAAACATGATGTTTAACTTAGCTACATCATTTGTCAGCTGCTTTAGCAGTCTAAAAATCAAAATATATGATCAATGAGTATGCTGTTATCTATGGCAACTTGTACACATAATCTTTGATTTGATTTACAAATCTTTTTATCAATTAAGGCATTTCCCATTACAACTTTTGACTTGCTTATTGGCACCCAGACAAAGATTTATAAAATATAATTCAATAGGAAAAATTAGCACTTTAATTCCTCTCCTAACCCAACGGTCACGGGACCTAAGTGGTGAATTCTTGGATATCCAAGCACTATCAATCATTTACTGTGTAGAGCACATTATTTTCTTAATGTGGGTCCTTAAGAAAATAAAGTACAGAGATAAAAGATTAATTTATTTAAAGATATGGGTGCCAATAAGTGTGGAGGGATATGTTTTGAATATTGATAGTCAAACAAAATCTGTTTTTCAAATTGACCTTCCTTACTAAATACATATATTCTTGGATCTGTTTTTGAAGCACTAAGTCTCATTGTAACATCTACTACTTCCTTTCAAGATTTTGTGGTGTAAAGAGGTAAAATTAATGAATTGGAAATTATACTGATGCCAAGTTTATCACTGCTCTATTTTAGGACTTAAAAAAACTGGAGTTTTTAATCAATTGCTTCTTATCAAAGTAAAAAGCTAAGCTTGAACAATGAATTTTAATATCTAACTATCCATTACACACCAACCTTTACAGGTATGTCGCTCTTTAATACTGTGTGTGGATTCACACAGCTGGATCCTCTGTGGGAGTTATTTCGGACCACCACTGTGAGATGTGCTGGGGTTGCTGCAGTAAGAAGATGCATGACAGAGCCAGCTCCAATGCTTCCATATGGAGAAGGGGATACAGCAGGAAAGATTTTGGTCAAAAGATAGGGGCGTACATTCAGGCAGCTGCTCTCCTTTGGATGCACATTTAAGGTTTCTGTGGAATAAATACAAAATGGAGAGAGAACAATTATGGTTTTATACAATTATTCTAGTGCACAGATTGGTATAAATTCCATAAATACAACGCAGTGCATACAGAACAACTTTGATCTGTGAATAGCAGGATACTTTTAAAAACACAAGAAATAGCAAAATTGTTATCTCCTAGAATTCTTACTCTCTCACTTTTTTGCAGCATGTCATGGAAAATATCTTGTGAAATAGCTGTAATGTCCCTTATTTCACTTCATTTTAAATAACTCACTTGAAAAGATAAAGCTAATTTTGAGTCTTCTTCACACAGAAGCACTTTATAAGTATGATGATGAGGATGACAATTATGAGGCTATTGTTAGCCCAACTTGCTGGATTTGGCCAATCAGGTCAAAAACAACCAGCTCAGCCACCAACCAATTTCTCGGTGCATCTTTAATCACACACTACTTCCAAAATACCTGCTAGAGTTAGAGAGACAATGAATTGACACTGGAATGCGTTTTAATATTTTGTATAATTAGTTATATGTCACAGTCGATCTCATGTCTTATAACAGCTTCTGTATCTTTTTCTGATTTGTCTCTTGTTGTCACCTGCAGTGTCTCCATTTGAGCTGACTTTCATTCAGTTTAAGGTCGAGTTTTACAGTGGCGTTTCCTTTTGCTAACACTCCTTCATATTTGCTGTACAAAGGGGAAGAATCAAAGTGAGAAAGAGAAAGGAAGAGGAAAAATTAAGGACTGCTATTCCTGTTTTTGTCTCTCAGGTGAGTGAGACTGAGATCAATGGCCAGTTTGAGTCAGTTTGCGAGTCCGTTTTTAGTGAAGTAGAATCACAGGCCATGGAGGCCTTGGACCTGCCTGGTTCGTTCCGCACTCGAAGCCACAGTTACCTCCGTGCAATTCAGGCTGGTTATTCCCAAGATGACGACTGCTTGCCTTCAATGACATCCTCCACTGTCACTTCAACTCTCAGATCCACAACAGGTAAAACAACTCCCTCCCCCCAAAATGAAAGAGGGCTTAGTCTGCATATCGTCATACATCGTATACATGCGCACAAATCTGACATACCTACATATGTACAGTGGGGAACCCTTAAGATCCAGAGATGCCAGGCTGAAGTCCTTTCATTTTCTTTGAAATCTACGGTGTTTATGTCTGTTTTTGCCACTGCTTACTCCCAGTATTTTAGATGGATTTGCTTCTCTGTTAATTTGCATGAACTGTGCATTGGCCAATTTTCCACATCTGTACTATCTGGAAGTTAAAGATGAGGTTTATAATTTACTTAGTCCTATCCTGACAAACCACACAGTCCCATTACACAAGGCATGCACAATAGGAGTAGCCTTTACCCTCAGCATGCTCAACTGTGGTGTTTTATGTGTGGCAAAGCGTGTCAGTTACTTAGGGAGGGGCTGAGATTTGATGTGCTCTAGTGGTTGGTAAGCCTTCCAACTGTCTATCTTGGCTCTATTGAGTGCAAAATTTGTAAATGACTTTCTAATTAAGCACATTACTAAAAAACAGAAACCAATTTAAGGTAAGTCAAGGAGACTTAGAGAATGGAAGACATGTGCACACACTTGCTGGTTGCACAAAGGAACTGATTTTTATTGTCAATGTTAAAGGAACATATTCGCTATTTTTTTTCTTAGTAAGCTGTTGTATTGTGGTGCATAAAACTGGAAACAGCAGTGTTAAATACTTACAGGGCTTCATGTCTATGCTGTTGATGGAATTATTTAAGATTTGAAATGACTGCATTCTATGCAAAGGTCTTGTCAAGGATTAATTTTTAATTCTGATTTTAAAAAATTGTAATGTAGGTTTGAACCTAAACTTCAAAATATTTTTTATTCATTACTGACTCTTGAATGGACTAGAATTACAATATGTTGCTCTTTTAATACGATTTCAATTGGTGTTATGGTCTTATGTAACACAATACATGCAGTACAGTGAGAAGACTCAAGTACATCAGCATCTTTGTGCAAGCAGAATCTTTGTATTACCTCCCTGAGTAAATGTATTTGGTGTTTGCCTGCAAGAGTAAAGCTATGAACCCTATTGAAACATTTTTTTTATCTATTTACATGAACTGTTTTTCAATATTATATCCAATAACTTTGTACATTTTGATGTCAATTTATTATTGGAGACATTTGCACTTTTATCTCTCTGTTGGTTTTGTTTTCTTGTTGAATCTGGAGAATGATTTATTTTTTTTATCTTTTTATCCTTAATTGGGCTTCCAACTGCAATTTCTTCGTGACTGAACGACTATGGATAAAGGTCTCCAATCCCACCGTCTTATTTGCTGAACTCTATTGACTTAGCCATCGGCACTAAATCTTTCAGCTAGGTCTGGGCTAAAAATTATTTGGAGTAAGGTTGTATTTTAGAAGTTAGTAAGGTTATAATAAAAGTTATTAAAGCACAGAAAAATAGTTACTTGGTGATTAGTTACAAACTTGTTCATTGGTGTCCTTTTGCACAGTTCTTGGAGAACAGTCGTCTTGAAATAAAATGCAATCACCAAATAAGGCTATTTAAAAAATATCAGGTCATGTTTTGTTTTTTTTATAATGGAAGTATTCAGGACTAGTTTGAACCCAAAGGTTAGAGGGCCATTGAATGGGAAAAGGAATCCCATGATGCTCCGTAGGGCAGACGAGCTACAAACCCCTCTACATTTGACCATCCAGATGTTGAAGGATAACCAGGGGAAAAGAACAACTGGAGGCATCAGGGATGATTGTTTCAGGTATTTTAATGTTGACATGCATACATATCTATGTATATGTGTGTTTTTGCACTGCCTTCTCAGTAGAAATTATAGAACCATAAAGTTTAAGTTATCCTAAGTAGCAAACACAGTTCCAAACAACTCATAAAATCTCAGACATTGTTTCTTCTTTAACATTTGTACCACTGAATATTGAATTTTAAAGTGATGAATGTGATGCTGGCTTTTGTGAGTTGTTGATCATGTCTCTATTTAAATGTTTTTAGACCATATTCTAAGTGTAATCACATCAGACATGTAATTTCAAAGAGCTTTCAGAATGTTTTCATGTCAAAACCATAAAATAGCAGTGAATGTCATTGCCTTGCCACTGTCTCCAACCATTTGTCAGGGCAGAATCTGCCTGCTGTACATGTGTACATTTTATTTCTTCCTTGCCATAAAAATTGAAGGCCATCTTTGGCAAAGTCTAACCTTTGGAACTGAGTTTGTCAGCTGTTTTTGACTGTGGGATTGCAGCCTCGCTCTGATGGGGCCTTGGAGGCAGAGAGTGTACCTCTCCCTTTTGCTGGGTTTTATACAACTCTGCACGGTCTTATCAGCCACTTTGGACCTGATATGTTCAATAGGGTTCATATTTGCTTCTTAACCCTGTGGGTTGTGATTCCTCTACTCCCTTTACATCTTTTCTTTTGCACAAAATGGCACACGGTGCTGGGACATATTTGGCATGCTCAAAGAAAGGGGTCCTCAAAGAAAGGATTTCTGATTGATAATGATTGATGTATTTTACTTTTTGTTGTGCTGTGCAGTGAAAAGATGGAAAGAAGCCTTGTGAGGACTGAGAAGGCAGTGTAAAAACATTGTGAAAACCTACAGTATGTGAGTTTTTTTGGAAATAATTATAGCAAAGTGACAAAAGACATTTGTTTTATTGACTCTTCTAGTATGTATAACATTCACTGAGTTTACAATTAATGTCAGTACTGATTTTTAAAAAGCAAACGATGAAACGTTGCTTTGCATTCCACCCGCATTACAAATGTTGAGGTTTTCCACAGTTCTAATGTAGCAGATGTGATTTGTTGGGTGTTCCTCCTCCTTTTTGCAAACACTTGAAAGTGTCTATATCAAAGTCTGCTGCATTTTAATTTCCTTTTCTCTCACATACTGCAAGTTTTCCATAGATATGTGACCATTCTAGTTTTAAATCCTAATCCGATCATGTTCCAGTTGTTCCTTTCACCATGAATGTCCTTATATTTGCATACTCGCATCTTTCTTGCAGAGGGATATGATCTTGTGGATGCCACATCCTTGCTAAATGATGACATGATAGAGGATGATGACGGTGCTAGCTCCTCTGCCTATGCAGAGCTGGAACGGCTAGAGAGAGAGACTGCCGCTGCTCGAAGCCAGCATAGCACTAGCTCAACTGTAACAGCCATCTCCGTCCCCCCAGCAACGCCACCTTCATATAGGGTCCCTGCTGCTTCACCCATTGCCACCACTGAGCCACCAGTACCCCAAGCGCTCCAGGCTTTCAAGGAGTCTGCCAACATGGTCGCTGCCTTCAACTTGCAATGGAAGGATGAAATCTCTGCAATGCGCTACGAGCTAGCAGAGCTGCGTAGAGATGTCTGTGGAGAGTTAAAAACTTTCAACAGCAACTTCTTCAACTTCACTCAGTGCTACAATATGTGGACTTTATGCCGGGAGCCCTGCAGTGACAGCACCACACAGACAGATGACAGAGTGTCCATAGGAATTCAAGCAGGCTCAAGCTGGTCAGTTAGACATCATACACAGGACAAGTCAGTGATGTGTCAACCAGAGCCAGCACCTTTCAGCATTATGGACTTTATGGACCCACCTCGAATTGAAATCATCGAAGGAACTCCTGAGAGCACACCGGAGGGGTCCGGCAGTCCTGCCAGTCCACTACCAATAGAGGACTTCCCATGGGAGATTAACAAGAAGCAAAAGGCTCATAAGCAGTCAGACACAAGTGGCCACACAGGTGGTCACAGAAGTGCCAGTCTAGAACTGTGGAGCAGAAAGTACACCAGTGGGCCCATGTCATATCTGTCTATGTCATTCTAATCATCTGCATTTTCTGCATACTGTAAAAGGATTTAAAAAGATCCAGGTTAAGAGCCAGATATGTAAAGAAAAGCTGTTGTTATATGTCCCTTTACTCTATGCAGACACAGTCTGTCATCTCTTGAACTGCTTACAATAAGTTTCCAAGTATTTTTTTTAACAAGTGTCTTGCTAAGCCATGGAATAAAAGAGGGTGATTTTGTTTTACACCAGAGTCAGGTAAGATATGAATGCGAGAGAGAATGTGGCTGATATTTCAGATCCTCAAGTGCCAAAAAGTGCATCATTAGCTATCCTTCACTGTCCTTACATACCTTAATTACTGAGAGAGAGAAATACTGTTCGTATAATTGAAAATGTAAGGAATATTTAGACTGAATCCCATTTTAAGGCCTTAATTGTGTCTCTAAGTCTTTGATGAAATTAAACATCAATTCAGTTAGTCGAAAGTGATAAACAGGCCTAAAACGCTAAACTGCTTCACCCTGAACATCCATCATGCAGTGCAATTGGAAAACCCTCACCACTGGTGTCAATGTTAAACTAATGTAGGGGCACGACCTAGCTGAAGTAAAAGGAGAAATGGGATTCTTTCTAATTTATAAATTAATAAAAAGGTGTTTTTGGACCACAGAAACCTTTTCTTGGTTTTAGTACCTTTCAGGAGAAATTTCTCCTTGTTTTATAGAAGTCCCTATCAGGATTTCATTACCTACAACAATATTAAGGAAAGTAAGTTAAAATACTAAAATATGTGACAGAAAATCATATGAAAATTGGCGTAGACACCTAAAACATCACATGGTCAATCAAAAAAATTAAAATAAAAAATACAGAAACTTAAATGGAACCTCTCAGTTTACCTGTTCATCATCAACAAGCCTTTACTTATATAATCTTGTGTAATGGATCATGTCCAAAGGAACAAGATGCTGGATACAAGCTGCTGATGTGAGATTCTTCCATGGGCTCACCTTCCGATTGCAATTCATTCAGAGGAATTTTCTTAATTTCCCTTCTACTTGTTTGGCCCAATCTCGGACAGACGGATCATTCAAGCCAGAGTTTTATACTTCCCATAATCCTGGTTAGAATTACACCTGCTCAAAATACAATCTCATGTATGTGAGAGAAAATCAGTGACCTTCACGTACAAAGGAAGGACATGCAAATACTACACAAACCAGGCCCAGCCAATCCTGGTTCTGTACAGTCACTCTTCCCTCTCCTTCAATCCTGCACAAAATGCATAAGAGACCCACTATGTGTTGAAAACATATGCTGATGAGGATTTTAGCCTATTTACAGCTTTCTGGTATGTCATTCACTTAAATCATCATTAATATCTGAAGCTCAGAGTCTAAAAATAACACTATGAGCATATTCAGCTTCCAAACTGTCAGTGAGCCTTCAAAACTGGTTGGTCCAAAAACACCTACTATACAGGGAGGCAAATAGTGGCATGTTTCTGCACATTAATCTGAATAGATCATGTTAATTCCAGTTTCTCATTACGTAGAAACATCTTAAGCACCTGCATATACTGAAAAAATACTGTGAATACGTTTATAACTTTATAAAACATAGTTTTGTAATGAATGCATTAAATAATACATTATTTAAGAATATATTGATATACTACTGACATTCTAGTTATTTCAATCAAAGCATTCCTTTGCCATTGCCTTCATCCATTTGTAGCAAGTAACAGCGGAAATGGGCATTCCTGAAAAAAATTTACGAGTTAGTTAAACAAACTACAAACATTATTTAAATAGAAGATACCATGATCTAATGACAGGAATATAACACCCTATCAGGTTTGTAAACATTTCCACAACACTGTGTTGAATGCTTCGTCTCAAGGCTCTGCAAAACTTCATCCTCAAACAGAATTGTTTACAATGATTCAATTTGAGTGACCACGAGACCCAACTCTGTCAGGAAGGTGAAACAGGAGAGCGATTCAGGCTGATCACAAAGGATGAAAATATTAAGTTTAGTCCATTCCAGCACAAACTAAATTCATGCTACATCTCTATAAATGTACAATATATATACATGTATCATTTTGTATATAGACAAACTTATATTCAAAACTTGTACTGTTCGCAGTTACAGAAAATACTGTGTTCTGATAGAACTGCGAGGAATTGTTGAGGTAAATGTGGTTCTTAAAGTTTTTACTTCTTACTCTTTCCCAGCTATTTGTTTTATTGTCAACAACAGTGTTTTTTTTCTTTTGGCACATATGATGAAATTTGTAATTTCTCCTATTTTGTATGTGGTATTCACATGTTTGATACAGTGTCTTATATTTTAAAAGACACTATGACACAAACACAGACGTTCATCAGTTCTTTAAATGTTGCTTTTAATTTGAGTTAATTTGATCATAATCAGCAATTGTAGAACTTTTCCCATAATCTAGACCTGCACAGTTTGTAACTTCTGAATTGTAATAATTAAACATTATCCCTACAAGTAGACAATCAGAGCCGACAAAGGCCTCTACCTCTTAGAAATGTCCCCAGAGGTGCAGTGTAATACCGCTGAATGTTCCAACACCGCCTCACTAGTGACGGCTAAGGTGGACTCCTGTCTTAATGGATATGGGGTCTCCATCATTATTTTGTCTCTTAACTGCCACAGCCATTTCACCTCCTATATCACTTTGCCGACGTGGCGTACCAAAGCTCACACAGACATGAACAGATCTAAGGCCAACAACATTGAAAAGGCATAAAAAGAAAGGCATTGTCGCCTGATTCATAAAACGAAAATTGCTCCATTTCTACACTACCAAAAGACAAAATTGATCAAACATATAATATTTTGAATTACATTGATAAAGAGTTGAATTTGAATTTGAGGCCATACAAGAAAATGCAGAAACGACCCTGGGATTCTTGCAGTTGCTCTGTCTTAAAAAGCAAGGAAATCTATGTCTTGAACATGTGAACATTTTTCTCAATTTCTAAAATTGCTACAAACATGAAGTGTTCATCCCAAGGATTGCACACATAGAAATAAATTAAATTATGTATTGTAAATTGGAGTTATACAGATATTAATATTGCTCACATTTACTAAAACGCGTTAAATGTGTAGTAGAAATGTTTTTGTAGCTAATGGCAGCTTTGCGAGTCTTGCATATAAACTAGGTGTTTATATTGTGTAATTGTGGTCCATTCCTTCAAATGTCTTCAAAGCTCTCTTGTAGTTACTCTGATCTTCATTTTTTATCAAGACCGTATCACATTCTTGGAATCTAAAACCAAGTGAAAGTTTCCTTAGTGTGTCTTGCTTTAAAATCAGGAATATAACACCCTATAAAAAATATGGTATGTGCAAAGACATCCAAAAGGTTAATTTTTTTATGTTATCTAACCGGACTGTACTCTCCCAGTATTTAATTGGCCTCTCAAATGTTCTGCATCAAATATTATAGTTTCCACATGTTTTTTCTTCATCAGGGGAGTCTTGTGCAGTGAACATGCACAGAGGCCAATGTGGCTAGGCCTTTTCACAATGGTCAGTGACTCTTTAACAGCTATTCTAATTATTTTGATTCCTCTGACATAAATATTGGAAGAAACTCCAAATTGTGACTGGTGTTTGGTAGAACACGGGTCACTGGGATGCTCAGATCTGTAGAAATATAAACAGTTCCATCAGTATATTTGGCAGGAAGGCGCAAAAGCAATTGCTTTCAACATGCTTTTGAGGGATTGGTATTAAAAATCTTTTTATAGGCCATCAATTAGGTCTTTATATACACACCGATATTATATGCACTATAAGTGCAGACAGATTACATATATTTTTATGGTTTTGAATGTCTTTTAGCATTGAATTTCCTTCAGGTGGGAAATGCTTATTCCTTGAGTCATTCCACATAATTAATAGACCTATTCACTTTGATATCTTTGTATGTGTGAATTGCTATTTTTAATTGCCACCGGCATCTTTTATGAAGATCACCTCAATAACCCCATGAGACCAATTTTAACTGGGAAAAACATTGATGTGTTCAAAACGTATTTTCCTTGCTCTTTCGGTAAAATTTATTAAAATCCAATATGTATTTTTTACAATGGAGATTTTCCCAATGACATGTTTTACTTATTGATTTAAAAACACGTAACCATGAAGCTTGGAAGAATTGGGTGCAATGGAGATTATTGTCAAACATAGCCACTTGCAATACTGAGAAGAAATTTCAAATTTTTTTGACTTATTACTCCACTTAAAACATCATTACTGAGGCCAAATGCTGGATTTTTTCAAATAAATCAGAGGAGAAGGCTCTTGACTGTGACAAACATCTTTTAGTAATCCAATGAAAATAAAAAAACATCCACTATTTAGATTTATTTTTTTTTTTTGGAGTTGTTAATGCTAGATTTTCTGATTTAATTATCTTCCTATTGTTTTAATCGTGTAAACAAATTTAAAGGTGCTGTAGACTGGCAAGTCATGATGTCTTCAATTTGCATTTATTCATGCTATGCAAGTCCTTTATTTCTATATGTATACCATCAAAGTATGTGCCAGTTGTAATATTAATAAACAATACAAAGCGTGACTGGCTGAAATAGAATGGAACCTGGAAAAGTACCGATCATGTTATTAACAAAATTATACATATGCTTTGATTTAGCTGTTCATTTTTAAGTTTACTGACAACATACGTGCTTTCCTCAGATAGTTAACATTATAGCTTACACATGATGCTAAAAATCTAAGAGGTTGTTGGTGAGATTACTGCCATGTAGTAGCATTTGCATGATTTGTGCCATTATATAGAAAAAAAATCCTCTCTACATCACTCAGAATGTACACACTTTAGCATATTATCCCCCCCAAAAAGACCTGCTAGTATATAATTGTTAGTATATCATTTTTCTCAATTTACAAAAAAGCTAACCAGTAATCAATAGATTCTAGGTAACTTGGCCAGGTAGATTATTCCAGCCTGTCATTATTATTTTATCACACAGCCCAAAGATGTTATCCTTTCCTTGAACAAAGTGGAAATGTAGCAAAATAAACAGATCTAAATATTTTAAAATGATATATAACTATAGCTATATACACAGAATTAAATATTTAACAAATCTCAAGAAGAAAAAAAAAACAGGATAGTCACCATTATTTTTAAACATGCAACTTTATTTTATGTAATGAAATATCTACAGTAAGTGTTTGTGAGAGTTTCTGCATTGCTTACAATAGCTAATATGTTACCACACCCTCTCATCTCGCTACGTTTTGTTTCCTTTTACTTGTAAACCAGAGATTTAATGCAACAACTGTGCCAAATCTGTGAAGTCCAGGTAGGACAAAGGTTTCTGGATGGATTCTGACCTTGTAAAACTGCTTGAATATAAACCTTCTTTCCCATTTTGTGTTTTTCTCCCTTATTTAATCCAAGTGTCTTGGATAAAGTATTATTTTCTATTCATACTGCAGTTTAGAGGAAAACTTCTAACATTTTGTTTTTGTAAAACATTTCTTTAGCCTGCATTTTTGTTAGCCTTTGTCTATTTTGTTAAACTAAAGAAAATAATGTTTTTTCTTTAACGGCCATTGCCTACTGTGGTGTTTCTTGTCTTTTTTTTTTAACTTTATGTGTTTTCAAAAAAATGATTGAAGACAGTGGATTAAAATGTTTATCATGCTTAAGTTTGTTGTACTCAAAATGGGGGTCATAGCTTTACTACGCATTCGAAGATAAATCTCACTTGCAGCATGTGTCCAATGTCTACACATCTGAACACACACACAGCTACACTACATAGATGAGGCAGAGTGTATTTTACTTCAATATGCTTTTCTTTTCAGCTGAGCTGCCATCTTTTTTGTTTTTGTTGGTTTATTTGTTTTTCTTTTTGTTTTCCCCTATTTTAGGCGCCCGTAGTTTAGCTGGGGGGCGTAGGGAGTACGGTAGGTCTGGTAGGGAACTGCTTTTTTAAAATCTTCTTTTCTCCATGTTGTTACTTCAGCTTTTCACACATTTTGTCTCTCATGAACATTTTCACTTTGGTTAAAATAAGATGCATCATAAGTTGAAGCTGTCATCATATATATTAAATCATTTAAATGTTTTCATCTGTTTCTACATTGAATCCAATGGAATTTTAAAGATTCTATATGATGAGCAAAATCAAGAAAGGTAGCAAAGGAGGAAAAGTTTATATCCTTGTGTTAGCTCAATGGCAACCTTTGCATTTATTTAAAGAATACATAAAACATAATGTTCCATTTCAAATTTATTTAAGGTGGAACATACCACAGTAGAGAGATCCATGATACACAGTATAGTGTTCATAAATTAATTTATTTAGTTTGTTTTTTTTAAATTATGATTTAATATTGTTTTAATGTTACAGTTTTGTTCAATTCATCAATATAAGTGATTCACTTTCTTGCTTTAGCCATTTTATATATTTTCTTTGGGTAAACAGAGGAAAACAAAATCAGCAAGCAGTAGTTTACCTTTTCCTATCTTAAAACTTTGTCCAGTAAGGTAGATTATAATCAACATTATTCTACAAACCACAACAAATCAATGGCTTCCGTTAAAGCAATAATTTATAATGTTATAGTCACTCTCCAACATGTAAAATAGCAAAATTGATGTTAGTTTAATGTCAGAGAATTAGGGTGAAACAAATCATAAAATTACAATACTGTGAAAAAACACAACTTTTTGTCACTCATTTTATAAATTGAAGCTCATATTTTGAGTAGATTCATTAAAAGTTGTGTTCAGTTTTGGTCTTAGGTTTTGTTAAGCTTGGATTGGACAATTAAGATTATTCTTTCCATTGATTAGCAAAATGATTATTTTGTTGTTTTTGTTCATATTTGGTACAAAGACAAAAGGGTTTCCTATTGTGTATTAACAGAGAACAGTGATTGAGGGTAGGATTACTAAAACTGTAGTCTTTATTCCAAGATGATCTAGATCCTTAGTCTACTCTTGAATAGTCCAGTTCTTTTCATCTTTAGGCCAGGCTTGCAGGTTGCTAACATTTCCAGATCAAAGCATATCCAATAGACAGAGGTTAAAAGTTGACAAAACATTTATTGCTGTTAAACATTCACGACTTTCTCCTAGTACAGTCTTTGCTCCCAGCCTTAGTGGTGCTGGAAAAATGGACCTTAGGATGTTCTTCTCTCAGTAATTACAACCACACAGAAGAGGACTTCAGTGAGCCGATAAGTATTTGTTTTCCTTGATTGGGGAAAAAATAAAATAAAATTAGACTTTTTAAGTTTTAAACTGTCCAGTCAGTGGTTAGCTGAAACCTGCTAGATTAAGGTCACCGATCAACAAAGTTGGAATCATATTGGAAAATATGAGGTTTGCAAGCATTTTACAGCAAAAAGTTAATAGCATTAGGCTTTTATTTTCAGTTACTCTAGTTTATTTACCTCCTTTGACAAAGTTATTGCTTGTCTAATATGCATATAAAGATGTGTCTTTATAACCAACATATCAAGTTTTAGTGTTTGTGAAGGAAAAGTGTTACTAGAAACACCTCTGACCTCACAAATTCTAAAAATGAATTGCTTGGTGACCTTAAAAATAGTTTTCTCTCAAAACTTTTTTTATGAAGCATTCAATCAAGACTTTTTGATTTTGCCACCTTTAATGTCAAACCTTCTTGTTCCAAATTTAGATTGTGGCTTTGAAATTGAAATTATTTGGTAGAAGTCTCTTTCAAACAATACTGCTATTATTTTGATCTGCAATTTAACATGCAAAAATGGTGTTTTAGTTGTTGATATCTGGCCATTGATTCGTCTTGGTTTGTTGTGAGGATCTAACGTAAAGGTCGAGTCACTTTGCACCATGGGGGCATCACCACTGTATGTATATATGTATGTGGCTATATTTTACAATTGTTTAATTAGTAAGAAGTAAAGGCCTCCTCAAAACAATTGTTCAAGAAATTGTAAGTCCAGTACCATCATCTGGAATGAGGTCCTATTTGTCTTAATCTTTCATTCATTCATCCATTTTCCCATTTATTCATTCATCACTAACAACATTCACAGGGCTTCATTTGGTAAACATTGCAAAAACAGATGGTGTTTTCTTAAACTCTCTTTTAAAAAAAATATATATATATATATATGTTAATCCGAAATTAACATGTAACTGGAAGAATGCACACAAAGTAAAATATTTGAAAGCAAGAAAAGACATGACCATTTCCCCCATGGAGAGAGAATAAGTTGACAGGACAACAACTAGTTAAGTACTTCACTAACCTGTGGAACGGTGGTATTTTTGAAGAAAACCTCTAAGAAGTTCAGTTTCCAGCCTAACAAAAAATGCTCGTCACAGATGAAAAGGTGTAATTACCCATCACATTTGGCCATAACATGTCTTTGGAGAAATATTGCTACATTTTTTTTTTTTTTTTGCGAAAGATGATATTTTACTTTTAATGTTGATTAAAATAATAGTCTCCCTGTAATATGACAATATGTTGTTGTCCACATACTGTAATAATTTGAAAATAGGCTATAACCTAGTTTTTACAGAAAATGCACATTATTGCATATACATACATGCTATCCTTCACTCTTTACATTTTCAGCCCCCATGCTCATGTAAGAAACATCGCTGCACATCATTCATTCACAATACACCCCTACTTGAGCAGCCTGGACAGCACCTCTTTACCAGTCTGAGCCCACAACTTTGGCAAGAACGGCCTGAAGCGCAAATGGAGGGAGTTGGACGAAGTGGAGACACAATCTGAGCATTTTTTTGTCAATTTGTTTTTGAAATTTTAAGTCATGAAATCAAAGGAACAGGTTTGAGAATTCTTGCTGCAAATGAAGGAGAGTAATGGTCTGTCACATTCTCTGTGACAAAATTAGCATCAGGTTTCCATGGAGTTGATGCAAATGTTCCTTTTATTAGATCTTTTCATATACACCTAATTGATTAATTGGAAACCTCAACCAGATTTTGCAAAAAGACTAAAGTTTCTGAGTCATCAAAGTTTGGCTTATGCTAGTTGAATTAAGTACAGCACAATGTGTTCATTGCAAGTATATCACAAGTAAAATTATTTGATCCAATCACTCCAAAATTTAGCAAAATGTGGAAATGAATCTTTAAAAATGTCCCAATGCTTTACTGCAGCATGCATAGTTCTTAAATTGTTTTCGAAAAGTGAAAATAGAGAACAGAGACAGACTCTCTTACTTTCCAGTTCAGAACTGTGTTCTTTGTCTGGGTCTCTCACCACATTCTGTCTGACTTTCTTGTTGTTCTTTGTTGTCTTAATCTCATTTTGTTAATTCTGCTAATATGTAACATGAAAGCGACTCCAGTTTATTCCTACAACACTTCGCTTTGCTTTTTCAGGACCTGATGATCTTTCAAGTCTTTCTGGGCATTACTTTTACAGTGCAGTCCAAAACCGACTGAAGGATTGTGCCTCCTAAGAAGAGACGCAATCTCTTTCTGAATGGCTTAATGGTTACCTTGTAAAACACATTTAAAAGTACTTGTCTACTTTAAAAATTGAGAATCATTTCAGATGATATTTATACAACGACTGTAGCTTCACATTCATGTTGATAATTTCCTGTCTGTCTTGTATGCATGTTTAATATAGACATGGAGAGCAAAATGTTTACACATTTAAACGAATGTTCTTTGATGTTGTGTGTTTCAGTACAAAGTAAAAACTATTAAGAGTCATGATGCTTATTTTTTAGATTTAAAGCATTGTAGATGAGTCACATTCCTAGTAACTGCTATTATTCCGAAACTGTTTGCCAACAGTATTAAAGTCTGTTGGAAGTTGGTTTACTATTATACTGAAACATTTAATGTATTCAAATGGGTAAATAAAACTGCCTACAAAAGGAAGTTGTGCAAAGCTATGAAAGACAAACACCCAAAGATGTGTTTCAAGCACAGCAACATTTTTAAGACGCTGTATAAGGAATGTTGCTCATGGACATTGCTCATCAAGGTTACAAGTTGCTTCAGGGCTATTAAAAGAAAATGCATTTGGAGAAGAAAACACAGATATTACTGAATAACGGTTTCAATAGTTATACAATTTACATGCAGAGGAATTGCTTAAGATTGTTACACAATGTACACTCGTGGTAAAAAATAATAATTATTGTAGGATTTATCAGTTAATCTTAATGACATGAATGTATAGAAACCAACAAGTCTCAGTAGTGTTATAAATCAAGTTATCAGAGAGAGAAATGCAAACTTCCCCTAAAGAAAATGACATTTCTTACAATTTCTATTGTTTGAATAAACATAAAAATACTTTACAAAGAATGACAGTGGAAAAAACACTAAATAGTTCATAAATTGTGAAAAACTATTCTACTTCCAGGCTGGGTCCTATTTATTAAAAGAAGATGAGCATCTTGTTTTTTATAAGAATCAAGATGATTAGAGTCTTAAATGCTAACAAGTGCATTATTTCTCTGTGCATTAAAATTGTATCAGTAATTTCACCGGACTAACGTCTGTTAGATGCATTTCTTTAGCTGGGATGCCAAAGCTCAAAGAAGAGTGGTAAGGATATTTAGTGACTGAAAAGAAGGAAATGTTTTGGGGATTAAATAAATATTTCAAAGCATTTTCCTGATATCATGCATCTTTATAAATATCCATCAACTCTTCTAACAAAGCTGAAATAAGGAGCTTAACCTTAACTGTTTTTGTCTCCTGACCAGTGGAACTATAGATGGCTTTTATAGAAACAGAATTATGAACAGTTTGTAATTTCAGGAAACAAAACACTATTTAATAAACTCTTATTATTTTAAGAACTATGTGATGAAAACATCAAAGGACGGTGTTAACATCGCCTAGCTTTTGAGATACTTGTATCATCTGGTGTGGCAGTGGAAACATTACCTGCCTTAGCACGAATAAAAATAGTTTCATGTATCTAATTTTAGTTTCAAGAAAGACTCATAGGTACTAAAATGACAGTATCATCAGCATAATATGTTTTTGGCTCCAGTTAATCCCACACCAACTAATTTATTAACAAAATTACACCCTCTTTGAATCCAAGGATTTTATTTGTTTTAAGGTTCATTTTCTGTTTGTATAAGAGGTAATGGGTTGTATTGTGTGGTTTTGGAAAGATGATGTTAGATTTAAGAAATTTTAAACCCGTGTAGCAACTAGATCTGCTTGAAAGAGCTTTATTTTTTACAATGAGAGTACATGTAACATATTTTTAAAAAAAAAACAAAACGCTTTTTTCAACGACATACAATTGTGCTTTAAGAGCTCTGTGTTTGCTTTTCTCCTTAGTAGTTCATTGATGAATTACTTATTCAAGGAAATTTGAAGTGGTCTTTCTATACAATATTCATTTGAATGAACCCATTTAAGAGTGTACTTTTACCTCTATGTTTTCTTCCTAACTGATGTTACTTCCTCCTTACAGGGATTCAGTTTCGTCTCCCTACTTCATGCAGTGTGGACCGTGCTCAGCCCCCTCCAGGTAGCAGTGTTATACCGCCCCTGTGTTTGTTTTTTTCCAGTCGTAGTAAAGACACGTCTGTAGGAGTTAAAAGCAGAACAAAACAAATGGGAAGACATATCGTTCTAAACTTTAAGTACACTTAACATTTCACACGTAAACCTACCACATGGTGTTTGAACAATGACTATTCACCACTTCACATCTAGACAATATTGATTTGGAAAACATAGAACAATTATTTTTACCAGGTTTTAATAGAGAGTAAAAAGCTGCTATGGGATTTGGTTTTACAAGATGAGAAAATGAGTGTTTTGGACAACCTGACTCCACCATATTTTTGCATCAAATCCACATGGACAAAGACTCTGCATGTGTAGCACCTTGCAGAGTAATGCCCTATAACATTGACGTGTTTAAACAAAAAAAAAAAAAAACAATGATGTCTCCATTTTAATTTCAAATTGAGCTGCCATGTTGACCTGTTGGGGTTATAGAAAATAAAAAAACTGTAAATTATCATAGGTACTGACTGTGTGTAAGCTGAACAGCAACACAATTTGTAGAATTTAATTTAGGTTTGTTTAGTCCTGCTTTCTCTCTCTGTGGGGGGATGTATTTACCGATCTGCTTTCGTGCAATTATGCAAAGTCAAACAGTTCAATTTAACAAAGGCAGCATCAACTGGATAAATGAAGGACAATGAACTTTCCTGGTCTGTGTAAATTTAACCAGCGGGTCAACTGAAACTATAAATCTCGTGATGGATGTTTCTCAACTTCAGGTACAGAATTCAAGAGGTTGAGCTCTTTTAGCAGGCAGAACATGAAGAATCATCCATCTCACAAAATCTCCCCTTTCTGGTGCTCCTTCAGGCATCTGTTTGTACTGACATTAAATTTTCTTCTTTTCTCCAGCAGCTTTAGATTATATGTTCCAGTTCTTGTCATTAAATAGTTGCTGACACTGCTTTTGACTTAACTTTAAAGGTCATTCAATGTCAAATAGTTTGTGTTTTATGTTCAGGGCAGTCCCTTAGTGTACAATGACTCACAACTCACAACTAGACTGATTCTAATTCCACGTTTTACCCTTGAGAACACCTTAAAACTTGCACCTTGTTGGGGTGGTAGTGGATCAATGGGAATACTGGTCATCTAGTACGCAACATGTAGATGTGCCTATGGGTAAAGCACTAGGACGAGATTGCTTTAAAAGGCTTTTGATTGGTCAGTATGACAAAACCATATAATTGAAGTTAAGTTCATTTATCTGTCAAAAGTAAAAAGAAAAGTAAATTAATCAGGCAACACACTATGATGACCATTCCTAAAGGTGTTTTAGTCCTCTTTTTGCTGCCAAAACAACCCAGAGCTCTAAAAGCTGCACTAGACCCTAAAGGCCCCATCAACATGTTGGTCGTGGGTGCTTAAAAACACATCGTGTAGTTGCTCAATGGCAGATTGGGGTTGCTCTGCACAGAGCTGAGCTGGGCAACATGCAGAGCTCTCTGTACCAAAGTAAAAATCACAGTGGACAGTGATAACATCATGGTGACTGATAGATCAGAAGCAACTTTGTAGACGTCCACAACAAGCGAAATAGCAGACAAGCCTCCATGGATCGGATTTATTTGTTCTGCACTCTGGAGAGGGCTGCACAGCAGAAGGATGCCTGTGTTTCCATCCTAAACTGGTCAATCGTGCAAAAGCAACAAAAAATGAATGCATTTATTACATATATTCTAAAAAGCAGGGTTAAACCTTTGTGGAATGACATAGCAATATAAAATTATTCTATAAAATCAATCTCAAAACCTTTAACTGCATTGAATTCAACATCAGAATATTTAGAAGTAATTTTACAAAGATTGAGAGATTTTTTTTTTACAGGACAATTTACAGGAGGACATCTAGTGTTCTGTCCAAGTACCTGCATTTCCCCATTTGAACCTATATTGTGTAAGAAAAAAATTTAAAGGCTTATATTGCTGCAGAAACAGTCCAAGATAGGCAAAAAAAAAAATCATATTATAAATATGTTATTGTTGAGATACATCAAAGATATGATTTAAGATGTACTTCTCATTAATAATTAATTTATTAAACGTATTAATTATTTAGGCACTCATAAAGTGTATGATTAAACTTCAAAAGATGTGATTGGTATTCGCTTAACTGGTGGCCTAATACAGCCATTATCATTAAGCTTTTGAGAGACTCCCATCTACTCTAATCATGATTACTTTGTGATTACTCGGTTGTTGCCCATATTGCCAGTTTTTAAAGATGTTGCGAGACCTTTTAACCTTTTCCCCAAGTACCACAACAGGCCAAATTATGAGTTTTTAAAGAGTTTGATTCCTGACTCACTGGCTGCAAATGCCCTCTATGCGGTACTTGTTTATTAGGGGAGTACCGGCCTTACTGTGAAAATATGACATTCCTCCTTCAATATGTTGCTTAGTAGGTCTTGCACACACAACTGTGACAGAGAAAGTAGTGCTTTTAAAAGTCAGGTTGACCTATCTTAACAACATTTCCGCTTTCCGGTAGAGCAGAAACTAAATTCATCAATTTCATTTGAACCACCAAGGGAAACGACAATGTCATACACTTGATTGATTCTAAAAAGGATATAGGGGTAGTCTTTGAAAAGTAACATACAATTTAATGGTGGGTTTTAATACATTTATCGTTGGGAAACATATGCTTTTACTCTCACGTTTCATATGAATATCTCTTACCTTAGCTGTTTTTTTGTTTTGTTTTTTCTCTTTTTCCTTCCAACACACCAGGTTTGTGTTAGCTAATTAACAGGCGTCTTTCCCTCGTCTCCTTGGTTTTTTTCTTGGCGGTTGCCAAGAAGTGTTAGGTATGCATTACCGCCACCTACTGGTACGGAGTGTGGTAGCACCTGTCTTTCATTACTGATAACTTCAGTCTGAGTTTGTCTCAGGTTGACTTTCATTTCTTAAACCAAATTTTCACCTTATGCAGTTCCCTTTAATATCCTCACAATGCATCATCTGCTGTTTGGTTAGCTTTCCCTTTTTATTTTAATCATTGTCTTAAATTTAAGACCTCTCCATTTCCTTCTCAGCTTCACATAACATTTTTCAGCTTTTTACAGGAATTATTAGAATGTTTGTTACCAGAGCCAAATTAATAAAAGGTATGACTCTCGGAATTTTCAGATTTAAAATATAATAGCAAAACAGATTTTAAAGCATACAAATATATGCTTTTCATGCTAGTTGCTAAAGCCTGACATTTATGTTATTGAGTTCTGTGCTGGCCACTGAGCACTTTGTAACGTTTTCAATTTAAAAAGTTATTCAGTCAGTGCCAGTGTGTAATAATAGAAAGTGTGGAGTTATTGTACACTCTGAGTCATTGCGCCCATTATATTCTTATACCCACCTGCTGTGTCTCACAGAATTCCAGCCCCTTTATGCTGGATAGAAGTCAAATCTAAGATAGGATTTAGTTTAAAAGAGTTCCTTTAATCCACATGTCCTCAGTGTGTGTGCAGAATGTGCGTTTAAAGATAGCTACGCTCATGCCGGGGGTATTTCAGCAGGAAAAGAACACTTACATTCCTGTATTAGATAATCTGTTCACTTATCGTGTTTATTAGATAACATCCTTTATGTAAACTTGAGGATGAGTGTTACTAAATGAAATATATTACGAGCAGATTAGCAAAGGAGGATATCACATACTGTAGGGGATATATGTATTTCTCAGCATGATTGCCGCAGATTTGCATTGTGATCTGTGATTAACGTTTGTGTTTCTTTGTGTTTCATTTTATTGTATTTCACTCCATTTTATGGAGGAAACTTCAATTGAAAACAAGAAAAAAGCTGAAAATTAAAAATTCAAATCGCACATTTTGAGCTTAATGGTGGATCACTGATTAGTCGTCATTCAAAGGTGAATAGATTTACCCAGCTTTTAATGAAATTACTTAACTATAGAACCATCTGACTTATAACTAATAAAACACAGGCTGATCTCTCAACAAACAGTAAACAAGAACTTTACTTTTGTAAATAATTTGACTACTTCCTGCTTTTTTACGTACAATATACTGGGACAATTGGAGACCTGATTCATCATTATTCCAATTCAATGAGTCAAATAACATTGTCTCCACATATAATAAAGACTCAATTTTCAACTTAAGCTTTAGGCATTTTGTTACCAGTAGCCCCTCACAAGAATACAGTTTTGTTCCAGTTTTTAACCTGGAACTTTAAACCTGGAACTTTTACAGACAAAAAAAAAATAAGCTTTGAGTCAATAATTTGCAGAAAGATGCTGCCCTTCGATAAGGGTGTAAAGATAAATGACATAAGACGTCACAACACACAATAAAAGGTTTACTAGAATTAGGAAAGATTTAAAAAAAAAATTCTGGAAAATAAAGGTTCTTTCCCTTTTTAGCATAAAAATAAAGCTATTACACAGCAAAAGCAGTGTTTTATACAATATGAAACCAGTATACAGTAATTCAGTCCAGTTTTGTAACTCTGCTTTGAAGTCCAGCCCAGGTGGATTGTCATCAAAATTTCATTTCCACAGAATTATCAGTTCTTTCCCATAATCCTTCATTGTTCTTCCCCAATGAAAGCTGCTATTTTCCACCTTAATGACACTCACCCTGCTTTAACTGCTAAATCAATGTCTGATATCTCATCATGCAATGACGTCCCTCTATCACACCATGTGTGATGGCGGTGAACTGCAACATTTGCCTTTGTCAGCTTTGGCCACATTTTTCATTATCACGTTTTTTTGTTTGTTTTTTGTTGGGGTTTTTTTGCTCCCAACTCCCCCCCCCCCCTTCTCTCATCCTGCTTTTGCTATCCAGCGGTTTCATATCCTCCCAGTTACAAGAAGACCCCACCTCCTGTGCCCCCGCGCGCCACCACCAAGCCTCTTATTTCTGTGACAGCCCAGAGCAGCACAGAGTCCACCCAGGATGCCTACCCGGAAGGCAGGCATTCGCGAGGAGGTCTGTGGACCACGGATAGCCTTGGGCGCCCTATCTACAGCTCCACGGACAGCCTGGACAGCACCAAGGCGGTCAACATGGCCATGGAATCAGCGGCAGGCAAGAGGCATGCGTTGGTGGGGAGTCACACCTCCGTCCAGACATGTGACAAGGCGGTACTGGTATCAAAGGCTGAGGAGTACCTCAAAACCCCACGTTCTTCTATTGGTATACAGGTAATGAGACACCTAGCAGCCTCAATGTTCTAGTCATCTTGAAAAGTAGAACTTACAACTGACGTTTCTCACAAACTATACCAATGCTGTTTGCCATTTTTGGCAAAAAAGCTAAATCAAGTAAGTATTTAACATAATATACATAAGAATTTATATGCAATATGTTTTTTTTTTTCGTATTTTGTCATGTTATAAATGCAGGTCTATTGAGGTTATAATTGATAAACCAAAAAAAAACAAAACAAAAGTAGAACCTAAATGTACGGTTAAGCGGGTTACAATGACTCATTATTTTCAAAATGTTTTATGCAAATAAAAACTTGTAAACTTTGACAGTCATTTTGCATTCAGCCTCCTTTATTCTAATAACCCTAAATAAAACGCAGTGCCATGTATTTGCCTTCAAAGTCCACCTGTATGTAACCCAACTCTACAATTGGATCAATAACAAGATGGAGAATGGAACCACTTTCAAAACAACATGGTTGAAGTTGAGAATGTGAACAAAACATAATAGTATATCAAGTTTCTTAGCTAATGCAAATCCTTGATATTTAATATGTTTGTGTGTATTTGTACTGGAAATGAGGGTCATTTTTACACTGTTGTGTGTATTTCCCAGGTGGAGACTGTGGCAGACTCTGAGGCTGACAGTAAAGGCCTTCCTCAGTTTCACTCCATAGGGATCCAGGTGGAAGACAGGAAAAGGTATGAAGGTGTCGTAATACTTGTCCTTTTTCTGTCGCAAGTTGGTATACTTCATTGCTATTCATCATTGCTAGGCACGGGAGGTTCAAGCGCTCCAACAGTGTCACCACGGCGGTGCAAGCAGACTTGGAGCTGGAAGGCTTTCCTTCCATGGAGGACAAAGGCCTGCAGTTCGGTGGCGCCTTCGGACGCCACTCTGAGCCCAGCACACCAACTCAGTATGGAGCCATCCGAACTGTCCGCACGCAGGGTCTTTTCAGCTATAGGGAGGACTACCGGCCTTCCAGTGGGCGATCCAGCCCCCAGCCCGAACCCTGGTTGGTGGAACCCAGCCTGGAGAGCACCGACTCAGGCCGAGTATCCCCCCTCCGGAGGGACGGCAGCTGGTTCATGCAACTCCTTCACAACGAAACAAAGAGGCTTGAGGAATGGTGCAAAGAGATGGAAAGAGAAGCAGAGGAACATGACCTGTCAGAGGAGAGTGAGTGTCCCTAAGGCATGCTGGGATTTTTGCTCTCTGACGTCAACAGTTCACAGTGGCGTCACATCAGTGAAGCCACCGTAAATATTCGTAGTATTAAAACAGTGACGCTGACAACAGAGTTGCGACACACACTTTTTGAGCTGATTTGCTTATTGTGACCAACTGAAAGCCGATTGCTCATCGTTCTGTCTTGTGCCAAGCTGTCAGTAATAAAGTTGTGTGTGTCTTCCAGTCCTAGGGAAAATCCGGAGTGCAGTTGGAAGTGCTCAGCTACTAATGTCTCAAAAGTTTCAGCAATTTTACTGGTTGTGCCAACAGAATCTGGTGAGTAATTCTCAAATACATTTTATCCGTGTGATATTCATTTTGTTTACAGGAAAAGAAAGGCTTATCTATGCTTTTTTTTTTTTTAGCAGTATTTGCATGTAGATTGGTCTCACCCGCTCTAAACTTTAGGCAGGTAGTTGTCCTGACGTTGCATTTGTGCACCTTTCCAGAAATAGACTGCAAAGATTGATGGCGAAGCAGTCACTCTGCTGCTATTGACCCACAGTTGACGAAAGGGGAATTCCAATAGGAAACAGCACCTGCGTTGAGGCAATCCATTAATGCACAGAGGCAGCAGGTTGAATGGGAACTCAGGGTCTGAATAATGGAGTGCATCACCGTCTCACTGTTTAGCCCTCATGTCATGTCTGCTCATACTTCATACCTTTTCTGATGCTAACTATCCCCCAAGTCAGCTTATATCAGAATATGAAGTTCAATGAGTGGGATGTTTCTGCAGATAAGGGAGAGACAGACAGTGAAAGAGAGAGAAACAGACTTAATCAGAGCCTTAAAAGATAAGACTAAAAGAAAAAAAATGAAATGCATCATTGTGGAGGTGGATGAAGTCTGTTGTCTTAATAACTTGTGTTGTTTTGTGCTTTTTCCCCCCTTCTTTTGAATAACCCTACTGTTTGGCTCTCCTCAAAGATAATAGGATGATGAATTAGGTCTTACATTGGTAGTGACAAGCCTTAGATTGCCCCGAGCTTTCAGATATCTTTCAAAGAGAAGCAGATGAGTCTGTTTCACTCTTTGAATGGTGGAAGAACTGCACTGAGTGTTTATAAAAAGCTCTGAATATTGTTAACTTTTGAGCTGATGAAACACTTCTTGGTTTAAGCTCCCATTGTTTTTGTGTTTTGTTGTTTGAGGTGATGATCACAGGGCTCTCTCTGTCTCTGTCTGCCTGTCTTTGTGCTCTTACTTCAGATTTACACAGTGCAAAATACAGAACTTCAAAACTGGTGATGACATTCAAAACTCTAATTCAAAGGCCAAGCAAATTTTGACTGGGTCATTAGTGAATAATTCCTAATTCATGTTTAAAATACACTCACAAGTGTAATGCTAGATGTAGCCAGCAACCAACGCTGGTAATATACTGCCACATAGTGGTTGTAATTGGGAAATCAAACTGTAATTGAATGATTGGGAGCCCAAGAAATATCTACAAAAATGACTGTGATTGAAACTTTTGCATTGACAACATGGAGAGTCATTCTCCATTCTGTTAGTTGTAGAAAAGACTTATTTTATTTGCATTTTTACAAGCATCTGTTTCCTAGGACCCCAGTGCCATGCCTCGACCCACATCTCAGGACCTGGCTGGATTCTGGGACCTTTTGCAGCTTACCATTGATGACGTCACTGCCAAGTTTGATGAGCTGGAGCAGATCAAGAGCAACCAGTGGCAGCTGGTGGAGAGCCCCGAAAAGAAGGTATCATTTCCTTCCACACGCTCGTAATGATTAGTCTTAATGGACTCCAGATGAACACGCACAGCTTAAGAGGAAACTGCACTAACAACGTCAGTGTTCATTTTTAGGCATTAGCCCTAGCAGGAGGTCAGAGTATTAACAAGATGGAAGCATCTGTTTTCCCTTAGAGGGCTAATGGTTAAGTTTGCTTTTCCGTTAAAGCAACCATCAGCATCCATGATGTGAATTCATAACCCTTTTAAAGGCTTTTAAATGGGGGAAGTAATCTACAGTGTAATCTACAGCTATAGATTACTCTCCCCATTTCATTTCACTTGGTCACTTCTGTAAAATCATCAAATCTAATTTGACACAACACTAAAAAAAATATTCCATTTTGCATAGCCACAACTTACCAGGCAAGTTTATTTTAATCAACGTCTGAATACTTGACACTTGGTATTCAATCAGGTTTAGATGTGACTAGTTAACATGTAGTTAGCTTTCAAAAATACTACGTCATATTCTTTTACCAGTGATTCTTTGCCGTTGTGTTTGACTTGTAGTCTGTCAGTTATACTTATTCCTATGTCCAAAGTTGGGCATGGAAGTGAAAAAGGTACATCACTTTTGAGAGGAAGGTAGCTATAGCGGATATTTTAAGTAGAAACTTTATGATGAGTTTTCCGGGAAAGAGAAGAAAATCCCAAAAAAAATTTGTACCCACAAGTCTGAAACCTGATAAATTATGAACACATTTTAATCTGAGAAACTTTATGCTCACAAACAATAATTGGAGTTACGTTAAATGTCTGGGTGGGAACTCACTTAAGAGATGCATCAAATATAGCTGTGGCTTTAAATATGTTCTATCTTTGTCCCTCAACTTTGGGCTGTTGATTCCCTCAAAGCCAAGTTCCCAGTTGCTTTATAATCCTGTGGCAAGAAGTGATTCCAACACAGATTTCTGTTGGGAACAATTCCTGCCAAAAGACTGTGTGGGGAAAGAAAGAGTACTCACTCTGTCCCTGTTGGAGTTGCTAATAAACAACATCCATGAGACATGGGCCCGTTGGAATTTATGTTTTTTTGGTCAAGAAATCAACAGATTTTCAATTGATTGGAGTTACATTTACTACATCATCTTACATTGTAGAGCAATCCATTTTTAGGAAAGTCTGTGGCTTAAAAGTCTTTTTTTTTTTTAAATCTACTTTGAGAAGCAATGGAAAGGCCAGTTGTCACCTAGTTGTGTTTGACACTTTCGATATTAGTAAGATTTTTGCCCTTTGAGCATTTATTGCTTAACTACTTTGGGGAGTTAAAGGTCTTGCTTCACATGAATGCGTTTGTTTTATTTTGACAAATCATCAAGAAGCAATCTTTGAAGCTTTGTTAGTAGTTGTTCCTCTAAAACAAAACGCTGTTTTTTAAAACCTGGTGCAGGATGCAACTCTGTCTACAACGTAGCTCATATCAGACAATACTAAGTTTGAGGAAAATATTTTACTTGTTCTACTGTGAATGTAGGCTTACATTATAGATGACTGACATTTTTAGAACAAGGTGGAATTCACAATTTGATCAAATTATTACTAGAAGGGAAGAACACATTTCAACAGATGCAAAAATACTGCAGTTATTTGAGCTTTCAGTTCAGGCACTCTTTACATAATGTACATTAAGGCAAATGTATCAAAGTGGTGCTTGCAGATGAGAGACCTACAGCTGCAAGACATCCATTTAATTGGTAATTGCAACTTAAGAAGTAACAAGATCGTTTAGGGCACTTGGGTAATTATCTGTATTCTGCACTTTCTGCTATAAACACTCTACTGCCTCCAGCACTTTGCAGGCACATAGCGAGCGCAGTGGAGCTTAACCCTCACAGTGACACAGATGTTCCACGCCTAGCCTTATTGCATCAGGGCAGCCACTGTTTAAACCAACACCAGCTTGCAGTCATAGAACCTCACCTTTGCCCTCAGAACTCTGTCACAATCTTATGAAAATGTTGTGTTTATTTATTCAACAATCTTCCTATGTATGGGACACGGTTTTTAGAGTTACAAGCAACATATACTGTGACATCTAGTCAGTCGTACTGGCGTGAATTTGTGTCACCGAGTCAGTGGCTCTGAGGTCGCTCTGTGAGGAAAAATCTGTCATTCCACAAGAAATGCATAAACACATTACATTTGCAAATGCACACTGTGGTCTGATGAAATTAAAGTTGAAATACTTGGCTGTAATGACTGTTGGTGCGACTCATATACTGCACAATATAGATGGCATCACGAGTAAAGACCATCATAAGAAAGTTTTTCCCTGAAAAACTCACAGCATCAGCCGGGAGAGCAAAGGTTGGACACAAATATGTCTAACAAATGGATAATAGCCCAAATCGTATACTGCCAAATAAATTACAGAGAGGCTTAGGGACAGAGTCAGTGTTTGGGAGAGATGATCACAATTGCCTGGTCTCAGTCCAGTGAATAGTGGTGTGAAAATATCAAGACAGACAAACCTCATTCATTACGTCAGTGGGTCAAAGTTCCTAGAAAGCATTGTGGGGAAACATGCGGAATGACACACAAAATGTTAGACCCAAGTCATATAGTTTAAAGTTAAATTCCACTCCATTACTAAGGACATGTATTTGAAGATCATTTTGCAAAAAGAAAGATTTTGGTCTGAAATGCTATTAATTCACAAATAGCTCCCACAACGGTCTTCCTCAATGTCTATTTTTTGTCATTTGTATGCTAGCAGAGGAAGCGTGGACTGCATAAGATGTTGATAAAAAAGCAATTCCCATTAGGATGCAAAGATTGCACCACAGAATATAAACAAGCTGTTTCTAATTGTAATAAACAGGGACTATTTTCAGGGATGTAATCAATTCTCTATGTGTCCCAAGGAGCAAAAGTGGCCCCCTCCTCTGCCAAAGAGGCCAGCCAGGGGCCGTGGTGGTGTGATGAGGGAGCGCTCTCTCGACCTCCAGGACCGCCAGCGACAGGAAGCCCGCAGACGCCTCATGGCTGCCAAACGAGCAGCTTCTTTCAGACAGAACTCAGCCACGGAGAGGGCGGACAGCATTGAGATCTACATCCCAGAGGCCCAAACGCGGCTTTGAGGTCCACACAATCCTCCTTAGCTCCTGTAGTCCATCTCCATCTGACACCAGCAGGTCGCGGCACAACATCTGCCCTCTGTCTCCTGTTTGCTGAATCTTTTTTACATGCTGTCCTGGCTGTCCCTGAAAAGAAAGTACACTGGGCAAAGATTTTAACACAAAATGTTGCCCTCCCCCTTTTTTTTTTATCTGCATAAATGACAACAGTGATGAATGATAAAATGCACGGGAGTCTGATTTTTTTACCACGTTTTTAAACCCCAACAATCTGGGGGAGAAAAAAATGATACAGCAAACAATTTTTTTCAGTTTTCATTTGATATTCCTCAGCTAAAAGTCGCCCAGCGCCAGCCAAACATTATAAATACAGAGGCTGTTAATGTCCACAAGATCTACCTTTGCCAAGTGTATCTTAAAGATCACAGGGGCATTTGCCAATGGCTGAGAACGAGCTGACATAAAGTAAAACAACAGCTGCCCGAATTAAATCAGTTTTAAGACTTATTTTGGCCTTTTTGGTCCATCTAAATTGTTGCTGTTTCCGAACTGTGTCAAAGGACGAAAACACTTTTTTTCCCCCCTTTCAAAGAAACAAACCGCTACTTTTCCCTGCTCGCAACAACGGTCTGTGGCTAAAGCACCCTGTGTGATTCGTTACCATATTATTTCTTTGCAGTATAATTTTAAATTTCTTTGCTTTTTCTTTATTTTATTTTTTTTTTAATAAGGTGAAAACCTGAAGAAAAGTTTGACTTTTTAAAATAAAGCGTTCAATTTGCCATGGTTGATGTGGCAAATACTTGACATATTTTTCTTTGATCGTCCTTTAATCAGTCGTGCTGCAGCCATTAACCATTGTTGCTGGCTAGGATTTAAAAAAAATAATAGAATAACACTAAAGAATCCATCCAAAAATCATTTCCATCCCTGCAATACCATTCAGTCTTAGGACTTTTTTAAAGATGTGTGAATTACTACTAGCTGCTGTCCACATTTCCACTGCAGAACAAATATGAATTATTAACAAAAAAATTTAAAAAAAGATTTACACAGCCTGAAAAAGGTTATTTCAACCAATGCATTTTGCACCTTATAATATTCATGTTTGTATTTCCAAGGGAAATGTAGTTTATGACGCTCATGTGATATTGTTGCAGTTGAATTGCAAGAACAGAGATGAAAAATCTACTACAGAATTTCATATATAAATATATATATATATATGTCTATATATAAGTTGTAGAAATTGCACCTTGTTTCCTTTTTTTTAAATGGCATTAATGTCGCTCTTAAGTCAACTTTTATGATTCTAACACTTTTAATTCTACGTACAGTATCTATCATAAGACCAATTTCAGAGTTTATGCTACACGTTTACTATTTCCGGTAATAACAGGCATCGGTTGACATGACAGAGCGTCTGTCTGATTATTAAGTAATATTTCTTAGCTGAGAGTTTCCATTCTGCACTGCATCTGACTTTCTGTTCTCGTTTGATCTGCTTGTGTAGTTCTAGGGGAAAACAGGTGCAAATGACACTTTAACAATATTCAGTTACTATAATAAATGGTGCTGCTTTTTACTCTAAAACTGTTGTCCTTCACCCAGTCCGACATGCGCGCACACACACACACGCGCGCGCACACACACACAAACACACACAGTGCTTTTTACACTGAGATTTATTAACATGTCTCCCCGATGGTCGAGTGTGACTTTAGACACAATCAATTGTGCAATGTTGTTGCTTTCAGTGAGTTAAATGAGGAGACTATTGTTTTAGTTCAGATTGTTGCCCAGAATAAAGGAAAGGGAGTTTTATTGAGAAGAACAATGTTATTATTATTATTATTATTATTATTATTATTATTATTATTATTGAGCAGGAGGGAAAACAGGTTTTGACATTCCAACAACTTCTAAAATAAAATTAAGAATACATCACGGTTCATGTTTTTATTTTTTTCTCACACTTCCGGCGCATTCCCACTCGTCTCCATTTGCCAGTCCAACCTCGGGTAATTAAAACAAATGCTTATATCGCCGCCGTGATCATGTTCGGTCCAAAGTGTTTCCCGTTTTAATCTTAACACGTCCAGCGGTGGGGAGCAGTCTGCGTTCTCTGTCTGAGGTGGTGAAAAGTCAAGAGGGATAACGACACTTTCTAATTATCTACTGGGAACGGGGCTCAGCATGAGCTGGACTATTTTACTCCAGGATGAGCGCGAAACATTTACCCTATGGCCTTATCAAAAAACATTGATGAATGTAGAGATGACATTGATGCAAAAAAATAAAAAATAAAAAATCTTCCCAGGACATCTGGCGATTGCAAAAATTTCAAATAAATACAACGGGATGACAGGGTGTTTTGATTTCATTTGTCGCATATTTCATTTCCAGCATGAAGTAGGGCAAACGAATTATTTACTTTTTAACGAGTTGAATTTTGTTAGCTCATAAAATGAGCAACTGGGTATACTGAGCCTGAACTCAGAAAAAAAAAGTGTAGCATTAATGTGTATATTTTTAGAACGTAGAAAGTTTGGAGCGAGTTCACAGAAAATGCTAAAACAAAGTTTGAACTTTTTCAGATATATCATTAACTCTGCTGCAGCGCTTTACAGAAGTATGTACACCCCTGATGTTCCTTGGATAGTATATTTTACACAAAAAAAATCTGCAAATCGGCACACATTTGTATTCAGCCCTGTTATTATGATTTCCAATATAAGGCCTAGTTAAAACCTAAAGTCAACTAAAAATTGTTATTCACAAACAATCCTTCCACGGCTGTATTTATTTGATGGAAAATGACCTGGATGTTTTTCAGATGTTTATTTGTTTAAAAATCCCACAAATCACATTCCTTCTACTTTAAAACAAAGTCTTGGTCTATCACATAAAATCCAAATAAAATACACACATGTCTGTATATACTTTATAAATATGATTATAACAAACATCTTTACAAATTATTTATTTCAGGTTGTGTTAACTACTTTAAAAGTCTAATTTAAGCAAAAAGAAAACAACTTTATCTTAATATATTTTATAGATGTGTGCCCACGATAGAATAAAGGAATAGCAGCATAAATTTGCTCTATAAGTCCAGTGCATTATAGACGTACAATAAACTGTTAAGATGGTAAGGGCTTAGTCTTCGCAGGTCGCTTTTTTTTTTCCAACATTATTGTTTTGCTTAAAATGATTTATGTTAGAGTGATAGTGAGGAACAAAAAAAAACCCAAACACACGATGCCATTTTTCAATTATTTTGAGCTTCATTTGAGATTGGTTGTGTCTCTTATGTTTGAATTAGACACTAAAACAATGTAGTGTGAAATACTTACAGTTTATCACATTATGTTTTTACAATTTGGTCAAGACCTTCAATGAACACGTTTTGCTTCCCTTAAAATGTGAGAACTTATGCAAAAGGTTTTTCAGATCACAGCTGCCACTCTTACCGTCACCAGAAGCTTTTACTTCTCGTTTAGTCTTTCATCTTCATTCCTCCCTGATTGTCTTTATCAACATCTCAACTCATCTTGCAGAAGGAAGCGTCTTCTGAAAACGCCACAGTTGTTTTGATCTCATCTGAGCGACGGTCGACGGGCTACTTTTACAATCTAACTGCTCTTCCACCTGACAGAAGTCAGACAAAGTCTACTTCCCACAGACTGCAAACTGTGACTCCGTCGTGTCTACTGCTGCTGATCTGGCGGTCGTCATCGCCAGTGCGGGTTTTCAATTCAATTAAGATTAAACTGAGCTTCTCGCAGCTTTAAATTCACGTTTCTGTTGTACTCGCGCGACAGTTGGTATGAGTCAAATCTGTCGTTATCCTTCCTCCTTCGTGACACTGTGTTCTGGTACTTTAAAAGAGGTGGGACTGAGACGCAACAGCAAAGTGATAAGGATTATCTCGAAATACACTCACAACTTCATAGTGTTTTTTTTTGTGTTTTTTTTGAGTGGAAAAAAAAAATCATGTCACTTCAGCTGCTTTCACAGTTGGACTGAAGTCCTGACACCAGGATGTTCTTAGAAATTACAGGGACACTGTTGGAATCGACTACGCGTCTACAGTAATACATTGTAAGGGGTATAAGATACACAATTACAATATCGGAAATCACACAAAGTGTTTCTTGTAGTATCTCGCAGGGACGTTATAATATCACGGTGCCATTTTCGTACCATTATTTTTAAGTGTTTTTTTTTTTTTTCCCTCGCTCTCTCAACCATTTTATACGGGGCTTAGAAGTTTGGCAACTATGTACATGACAAAATCCTCAGGTGCCTTACAGTTTGATTCTCTTAGGACTGAGCAAATGATTTGGTTTGAGGTTTGTGAAAGGACTGCAAGACCTTTTAGAGTTTGTACTTTCATAAAGGGCTGGAAACGACATGCTCGGTTGGATCACAGAGTTAAAAAGTGGAACGACATTTATATTTGCCTGCTTCAGTTGTCCTGATTTAGCACAAAAGACATCAAAGGAAAAGCAAATTTGGTTCAGACCTGTTAGTACGATTTAAAAACACTTTTCGATCCATATATAAAAACCACTTTAAAAAACAATCAAAGGAAGGTAATTGTTTCAGAATATATTTTTCCATTCATAATTGTCTTTACCGTCACCTTCTGTTTTGCCCATTTCGGAATCTCGGTGCATACCAGAGTTGGAGGCTGGACCAGCTGGAAAAAGTGCAATAGTATTTTATTACAGTGACAGACAGGCTGGCCTGGAGCTATTTACCTCACGGTTGAGTGTTTTAGGAGCGGTTGTAAGCTCCACCTGAACGCTTTCTCATGCCTGTGTACTATGCAGCGGTGCCTCTGCAGGGTGGCTGAGGTTGCAGGCCTCTTGTGCAGATTGAACTCCATGACGGGAGACAGCTAAAGGCACCGCGTACGTTGTGATGAACGCATCAGAAGGAAAACACAACCAGAATGGGATACAGTCGATCTGCCAGTTGGTATTTAGTTTACACTGATATATACACACATATATATAAAAAGCTTAACATTTAAATATCTTACAATGACGTTCAAGGACTCACAAGAATATGTCCTTATAGAGTTGCTACCCATGTTTTTTATCCATATCAAAAGCACCACATTTTAGATCATTTAACTGAAGTTAAACCTCACGAAGGTCTAAGGTGCTGAACTAACCCATCTTATTGTATTACGTGTTGGTTTTATTTTTATTTTATGTTGACATTTGACTAATTAGTAAACACCAAAAACCATCCAGTGCACATGAACTTTAGATCAGCAGTGTATAACGGCATATTCTCAACTACTCGGTTAAGTTTCCGCTCACGATTTTGAGGATTTTTGTAAACTCATTCAACTTTCATTATTTCCAACATTGTTGCTCTGCAATATTCTTGTTCTGTTTTCCATAATTCACATGATGACATCAGAACTTTTTTTTTTTTTTTTTTCCCAAGCATCCAGCAAATGCGAACATTTACTGTGAGGCTCATGTAAACCTCATCTCTATGTATGAGTGTTTCTGCCTTTCAAGCAATAACCCTCATTTAAACGTTACAGATGTTTTTGTGTTGGTTTCTGAAGTCAGAGGAATGTTTGACGATTCCTTAGCTGGTTAAAGAATAGTTTGTCACAATAGGTTGTTTGCCCGTTTCACTTTATTTAATCGGAAAAGACTTCTGTTAAACACATCTCCTGTGAACTTAGAAAAGTTATTGATTTGTTTGAAAGTTGTTTTTTCTTTTCAATTGCTAGCCTACCACGTAACAAATACAATCATGTAAAACCAATACTTGCCATTCAACAATGTGGAAAAAAAGACTATCAGTCAAACGGTTGCCTAAACTCATCATATTATGTTTTAGCTTTTAGTGGTTTATTTGAACTATTCTTTTTTTTTTTTTGATGGTGCTTTGATGGCATTACATACATCAATGCCTTTTGAAGACAAGCTCTGGGTGAGTTTCAAGCGTCTGCCTAAATAAACGTTCCTTATTTTAACTGTAAGTAGTTCTTTAAATGTC